GCACAAATCAAGTTACAGAGGGAAGGTGGTTCTTACAATAAAAGGCCTATAGACTAGCACTTTGTCTATTATAGTGTAGAGGTTAGGAACCACAAGATGTAGAGGCTCAGCTATGTCATTTATGGTTCTTAAGTCCTGGAGCAAATTCCATCTAACACTGGGCTGTTTTACAACTCGAAATTTCACTTGCAAGGTAGAGGTGAAGTAAGGAACTGCTTATGAGGTTTTCTGTCCATTCCAACAACTAAGAGATAGTGAGAAGAGTTGGGACCTCAGGGGGCTTTTAGGACCAATTAGTAGGCTGTGTGTCCAGGAGAAAATGAATATATACTTACCAGTAATGTTAATACTCATCCATGGCTCTTCTAGGAGGATCTAAATCGTTGAAGTGTCCTCCTTTGTTTTCAGCTGGGAGCTGGGGCCTGTCAGTCTTGGCCAAGTGTCCTTCAGAGCCACACTTAAAGCAAGTGAGTGGGGGCTTCCTCTCTACTCCCTTGCCTATCTGTGAGCAACCAGGAAATTAAAAGACGTATTGCCATGGGAAAGTCTGCTGTTAAGGACCTCTCTAAAGTACTCAGGAGCAACGGTGTGTCTCTGGAGACAAAGGTGCGTCTGGTACAGGCCATGGTCTTTGCTATCACTTGTTATGCATCAGACAGCTGGACAGTGACCAAGGAGGATAGAAGGAGAATTGATGCTTTTGAGCTTTGGTGTTGGAGAAGAGTGCTGAAGGTGCCATGGACTGCTAAGAGAATAAACATATTCATCCTGGAGAGGGTTAAACCGGGTTGCTCCTTGGAGGCAAGGATTCTGAAGGTTCATCTGACATACTTTCGTCATGTTGTAAGGAGAGACCGGTCCTTGGAGAGGGACATCATGCTTGGGAGAGTGAAGGGCAGGCGCAGGAGGGGAAGGCCCTCTGGAAGATGTATTTATTTGGTGACTGGGGCAATCGGGATGAGTGTGTTGGAGGGAGTGGGATTGGCACAGGACAGAGCATAGTTTAGAGCAGCTGTACAAAGGGTGGCTATGAGTCACAAGCGACTCAATGGCACATAACAACAACATATATATATATATACACACACACACACATACATAACTATGTTATATATAAACTATATATATTTATGTAATATATATTATATATAATTGTCAGATGGATCTTAGCAGAGAGTAGAGAATCCAGAAGAATGTCTGTGTTTCATTGACTATGCAAAGGCATTTGACACTGTGGCTAACCTTGAGGAAATTTGGAATCTCAGAACACATGATCATGCTTATACAAAACCTATTGGACCAAGAAGCAGTACTCAGAACAGAGCAAGGAAGCACTGCATGATTCAAAATAAAGAAAGGAATGCATCAGGGATGTATCCTGTCTCCATACCTTTTCAATCTGTATGCAGGATAGATAATTCTGGAGACAGGGCTTTATGAGGAGTGTGGCAGCAAGATTGGAGGAAGACTCATTAACAGCCTACAATATGCAAATGACACAACCTTGCTTGCCGAAACTGAAGAAGATCTCAAGCATTTACTGAAAAAGGTCAAGGACTGTAGTCTTCAATATGGATTGAAGCTTAACATCATAAAGACAAAGATTCTCACCACTGGGCCAGTTGGCAGCACCATAATAGATGGAGAAGAGATTGAGGTACTTAGCAATTACAGCTTTTTGGTTGGATCCACAGTCAACACCAACAGTCAAAAATCAAAAGATAAATTGCAATGGGAAAATCTGTCATGGACCTCTCCAGAGGCTGAAGAGCAACGATGTCAGTCTAGATACAAAAGTGTACCTAATCCAGGCCATGGTCTTCTCAGTTACTTGTTATACTTCAGAGAGTGGACAGTGACTAAGGATGACTGAAGAATAAATGCCTTCGAGTTGTGGTGCTGAAGAAGAGCCTTGAACATACATACCATGGAGTGCCAAGAAAACAAATGGGTCTGTCTTAGAGAGAGTGAAACCAGGTCTCTCCTTGGAGACTAGAATTTTGAAGCTCCGCCTCACTTAATTTGGTCACATGGGCAAAAGAGACTGGTCCTTGGAGAAGGACATCATGCTTGGAAGTGTGGACAGACAGCGCAGGAGAGGAAGACCCCACATGAGATGGATTGATACAGTGAACTGGGATAATGGGAGTTGGTGTGTCAGAATAGTGAGACTGACTCAAGACAGGGCAAGCTTCAGAGATGATATACATAGGGATCACTATGCATCGCAGGGCACTCAACCAATAACATTCTATGATAGGTTTGGAAGCAGGAGTGGCATCT